GCTGCTTCGCGGTAAAAAAGATATCATGAAGGCGGCAAGATGGCGCGTAACGCACCCCAACGAGAGAGGTTTATCAGAGGACGATGCACATAGGCGTCATGCCGTTCACTCACGCAAACTAAGCTGATTTAACTTCATCCCACACGATATTAATGGTGTTGATAATGAATACGCATGTAACGTTGCATTGTTAGCGAGTATATTATTAATAAAGTCTCGTAGCTCGCGACTCCCTCGGCGAATGGGTAGCTGAGTAAACAGGCGAGACTGGCATCTGGGAGCAAATTGCAGAGAAAAGTGCTCTTCTCGCTCTTATCAGGCTCGTTACCCGTGACTCTCGCGAGGCGCATCGCCGCTCGTATTATGCATACACATTCAGACCGTCGCGTCGTGCGTCCGTAAACTGCGCCTTTTCTCCGATAGAGCACCGGCGTGGAGAGTGAGTCCGATGTATGATAACAGCGGTTCCGTCGCGCGTTGTTATACTTCACCGTGGTTAGCTTTCGCTTCGTCGGGATTCATTCTATCGGGTGTAAGTAAAAGGTGTGCACGAATCGGCGCAGCCGAATAAAAAATCCTACCTCTCGCACTCTGGCATTCGCGAATATGATATCGCGCGCGCGCGCGCGTGCGCGCCGCGAGCGATTAAACCGTTCCACGGAGACCCTGCGCGAGGCGTTGCGGGAGCGGTCGCGTTACTAGTCGCGGGAATCCCTGCTATCTCGGCGGAAATGACTCGATCGAGTTCAGCGTTCTCCTGAGGGTGAGCACGTCCGCCGAAACGACAGCCGTCCCGCCGTCCCGGCGCGGCGGTGGGCAGCGAGGCGGCCAACCACCAAGCGAGAGACGCTATCCGTAGGTGGGTCGGCTTAACGTCGCCGACACACAATACCGTTCGTGTTTCTCCAACTGCGCCGGGAGCGGCGAGTCCGAACTCGCTTGCCTATTTGCCGGTAGACACGTAACAAACACATAACTCCGCTCCGCCGAGAGTTACCGGTGTGCGATCGTCGCGCGAGCGTATGTGCACCTCGATGCGATTCGGGAGTTCGAGCGAACGAGCGAGCGAGCGAGCGAGCGAGCAGACGGACGGGACGAACGGAAGGAACGTCTTTTCCCGTAGACGACGTTCGTCCACGCGAACTTCCGCGATCGCGGAGAGTTGCTCGGCGCGCTCGCAATTTCTTGCCGAGCGCCGGAAATTTCCGGGCACGAGCAGGTTGCGCGTATCGCGCGGAACGTGCAGTTTGTTCCGAACGACGTCATCCTGCAGACTCTCGGAGCGGGGAAAGTTTTGGCGGACAGACGGATGGGGCCGGAAAAAGAGCCGTCGCGCTGGAGGACGTACTTGCGCGGGTTGTTTAGGGTTTAGCTTGATCAACCCCCCGCGTTAGCTCCCTCTTCCTCATAGCGGTCTCATAGCGAGGGGAAGATTACAGTCGGCGCATTAAGTTGTCTATTATGTCTGACGTTTCGCTTGTATGTGCCTGCCACGGGCTCGTGTCTTTCCGCGAGATAACGTTACTTCTGCCCGTTGGCGGAATAAAGCGAAGCTCGGCTAAAACCTCGGCGCGAGGTGTTCGCGATCCTGAAGCGGCGAGATTCCGAGATTACTGCTCGATCTGAGTCGCATTCGACGAAATTCACAAGTTTCACGATTAGCGTGCAAGCTTTGGCGCGAGGCGCGCTTTTTATGCACGCGTGACCGAAACGTATGGATATTTCGAAATCGTCGCCTCGCGGGCTTCTTAGCTTTCCTTTCTACCTTGCCTGAGCGCCTATTCTCCCCAGCGACTAGTCTCTGGGTGAAAATATTACAGTATCGACGTGTGGATATATTTAAAGTCTCTGGAGACGCGTCTTCGCTCTCGACGTCTTTCCCGCCATTATTTAAATCACACGTTTATGTCAGCTCGAGCCGCGAATCGCGTGCGATTCGCCCGTGAGTATTCCGCTTAATAAAGGGCGCAAAGGACTCGGCGAAGCACTCTTCTCGCTCTCGTTGGAGGTTTTTATCAATCCCCCTCCCCCCCTCCCACTGCGTTGCTACTGCGCGCCTGTAATTAGGTCAAGAGAATGAGGGGATGCCTACCAATCGGCTCGGCCATTATCGAAATCCGGTGCTCGTAAATTTCCAACGATACCATCGACACTTGGGGCCCCCGCCTGTGCCGCGACGGCCGGGCTGTTGATCGCTTACATCATCGCCGTTGGTCGCTGTAGCGGAGCTCGGAGGTAAAAGTAAGGCTTCTCGCGCGCTTTACGGCCGAAGATATTGCGTTCAAGTTCGCAACGATCGTCCAACATTGTCGACGGTTACGTCGCGCGAGCGTTTAACGATCAACTTAATTTTACGTCGGTCTCGCCCGCAATATCTCGCGGGTGTATTCCCTTCTTCCGCGATGTATCATTGGTATCTCCCGGATGGCAGCGGAACAGTCGGCAGCGCGTTAACACTTGCGCAAGTGCACTTACTTGCAGGTAGCAAGGGTGTAATGAAATTTGAACGTTGATTTTACGGCTCGAGAGTCCGCTAACAAATTCCAAACTACGTTTTCCGTGTTCTTGGCTGCTCCCGAAGATGAGCCAAAGCGCGCTTTATGCTGCCCCGAACGATACTAGCCGCTATTCCCGCTAATGACGTCGAAGTTCACCAGGGGCTCGCAGTTCGCCCTTCCCCCCTCCCCACTGGCTGCGTCGTAAAGCCCTGGAACACTGCTTTTCCGTCCTATTAGGTCTCGGGACCTTATTATAAAACTTTAAGGTTTTAAGGATATAATTAACGAAGAATGTTCTCTCCCTTTTATGACCCGTTGGCGGATGAAATAAACAGCGTCGTGTACATCCCCCTTCTCTTTCTCAATTGATTTCTGCTCTGAGTAACTTTTAGTGTCGCTTCGCGACTAAGAATTCTCAACTTGTCGCCCGCTCGCGGAGAAACTCCCGTTTTTCTCTCCCTCTCTATCTCTCCCCCCCCCTCTCTCTCTCTCTCTCTCTCTCTCTCTCTCTCTCTCTCTCCTTCATTCTCTCGCTCTCTTCCGAGGGCGCATATTCTCTTATTGGATCGTCACATCTTTAGTTTTTCCGCTCGATTTCGAAGTGTTGTACGTAAAGTTGGAGGGTAAATAAACAATCGATAATTTTACCCTCTCCCCCATCTCTATATTTAGCTTGATTACTCGCTGGGTATTATCAGCTGGTAATTATTAACACGGTGCGCGCTTTAGGGCTGAGGCTAAGGACGCGTAGCGAGTGGAAAAGATGAATATAGTTGAAACGGAGTCGCTGAGACGTGTTTTATCATCGCACCTGCGACGCGCTTTGATAAATATCTCGTTTGCCTTGAACTGGGACCCCGCGACGTCATGACGGTAGAACAGCCATAGAAGGAGAGAGGGTGAAAGCGAGAGCGAAAGAGTCGTACATCTGTCGTTTAATACTTTAGTACGCCTTCTGATCAAGAGACGTGATTTCGCCGTAGAGGGGAGATGGAGGGTCGCCGCGCGACACAGAAACGCGGGCCTTCTTCGTGCAATGGATGTCACGAGACAAAAAGAATATCTGCATATTCATAGACGTAGCAGACAGCGTCCGTGTGCGAGCGCACCAGTACGATATTCTGCCGTTGGAATTATAGACGTGAGGTCGCGATAAAGATGGTCGGGGAACAGCGGGGGCGAAAGATTGTACTCGGTCGAGGGAAGCTCGAAAAAAAAAGGAGGGGAGGGAGGAGAGAGAGAGAGAGAGAGAGAGAGAGAAAGAAGCACGGGCTGGTCGCGGATGAGCGGCGCGCTGCTTTTCGTAAAGCGGAGAGATTAAAAAAGCGCTCACTCGCGCTCGAGGATAGGTATAAAGCAGTACGGAGGCGCTTTTCTAAGTGAAAACCTCGCTTCTTAGAGACGCGAACGAGAATTTACGGCTGTTTATGGAGTGTAATAAGTTACGTGCGGAGATTGGAAAGGAGAGAGAAAGAGAGAGATAGAGAGAGAGAGAGAGAGATAGAGAGAGAGAGAGAGAGAGAGAGAGAGAGAGAGAGAGAGAGTACGGACGCGTGCGTGGAAGCGCTGGGCTATACATTTCGGTTTTGCTTTACGGCTCGAGCGAGTTTGACGAAGGCACCGCGAATAGTGATAGCGACAATAAATGACGCGCACGCCACGACAACGTGCATTGTGCATCCGATTGTCGAGAGTTGCGCGAAACGGCCGTGTTGTGCGCGACTCCGTCACCATGTTTGCAATCGTCGCAGCGAAAGAGAGAGAGAGAGAGAGAGAGAGAGAGAGAGAGAGAGAGGAAAGTCCACGCAATAATAAAAATTAATGACTCTCGCGGTCGGGTTTATTTGCACATTTTCTTTTTCCCCCTGGCCGCTTACATTCGCTGTGCGCGTACCATTACATAATTCCGCATTGCCGCAGTCGGCGACCATAGCGTTGACTCGCGACGAAGGATCGGCCAAGCCACTGAATGGAAAATAGACAGCGTCATATTATAGTCTGCTCGCGATATTATTCCGCAGGCATGACTGCAGACTCTATACTCCCGATCGAATACATGCGAAATACGAGGTCGTTCTGTAACTCAGCGTGTATCTCCGCAGCATTTCCAAGAAAGACAAACAAGACGGATTTTATTAGGTTTATTTTTTAACCGATTTCTCTGAGGAGCGGGGGCGAAGAGGAGAAGCAGGGGGAAGGAGGAAACGGAATGAAAGATACATTTACCGTTCGATCTGACAGGAGCGGATACCGAGGCCAACTCGACTTCTTCACTCGAACGAGTCCCGACTCCATGACTCCGTAATCGATCGGAATCTATCCGTTCTTTTATCCTTCCGAAGAGTCCAAAGAGTCAAGTCGAGATTCGCGGTCGAGCGAAGGTGTGCGCGAAGGGCGCGCAGACACCCCGCACGGCGTGGGCGGTCGCCCCGTCGGTCTCGTATAAAATAATCAGCGCCTGGTAGCGCTCGCAGAGAGAGAGGACAATAATCGCACACTCACCGGACTGTGTCCTGTGCGCGGGTGCGGCGGGTGCGGGCGGGACCAATCCGGTGATGCTGCAAAGCGTCTGTCCGCTGCCGTACTTGAGAGACCTGCAGTGGCACGGGGTGGTGGGCGTCGTCAGGCCTTCGTTCCTCACGGCAGCCCCGATCACCGAGATCTCGTCGAGTTCGTGTCCGCTGTCGTAGTGGCACAACCGGGTCGCACTGGTGCTGGCCCCGCCGCCGCCGACGCCGCTGTCGTCCCCGGCATCGGATCGACCGCCGCCGGCGCCTCTACCGCCGGTTCGGCCCCTAAGCGACTGCACCAGTCGCTTGGCGCCCGAAGACATTCCACGGAGGTGATCCAGCCTTCCGGTCTTTGTTTCCTCTTGTTCTTGCCAAAACCGCCCGAGTACACGCTCGGGGATGTCCACCTGTAAGTTGCGCGCGCGTTTCCTTATTTGCTCGAGTCGTCAGTTGCTCTGGCTGAAGTATGAGCCGACTCGCGAACGATAGGACGAGTGGAAAGAAATGAGCAAGTGCCTACGTCCCGAGTCGAAATCCGGATCCTACTTTCGACCTCAATGCTCGACTTTAACGCTCTGATTTCATGCTCTGAGATGCGCCTGTGCGTCTGTGTGTCTCTGCCTATCTTTCTCTATTCTATTCAGTTAGCTTCTCGCCGATAGATAATCTCAAGAACCTGCCGAGTGGTAAATTGCGCGTTTTCCCCGCCGCATTTGGAGGCGCCGAGTAGGATTTGAGTTCCTACGTGAGTGAAATCTTCATCGATCTTCCGGGATCTATAGGACGTTGCTGGACGAAGTTGAGGTCGAAAATGGGGTGAGCTCTGGCCTCGGACTGAGCGCCTCGAACTAAATAACCGTGCGCTCGATGGATGCGCGCGGGCGATGAGAGCTGGGGAAAGCGGCGGCGGCTGTGACAGTTCCGACGCGACGGCCGCGCGGCTGACTATGCACGATCCGTAACTACTTGGCTGAGCGGAAGGCACGAATGGCGCTTCTGACGGACGAATCAGCCGTAAAATTGAAAGCCGCTCGCCCGGGGCTGTGTAATAACTCGGCTGGCGCGAGATAAAAATTTGGCTGTTGCTATTCCCGGCGGACGTACGTGATAAATAGTCAGGCCGACGCATGCATCTCCCTTTAGTCCGCCCTTTCGCCTTATCGATTTCGACCGCGAAGCGGTGCGCTTCGAAGGATGATACTGTCTGATAACGCATGATGGACGGACCGTTCCTGCGCGCGCGCGCGCGTACGCACGTCACGTTCTCGCGGGCGAGCCGGCGAGAGGAAAATTCGCGTGGCGTTTCTCGCGGGCGTGTTTCGCGACGAAATTCACGGGAAGGAACTCGCCGAGCGCATTCCAGCGCGCATGAAGAGATCACTGACTTTGCACCCTGTGCGCACGGCACGTACTCGGGGCGGCGGCGACGGCGGGGTGAGGTAGAGCGCGACGACCTTTAAGCGTCCAGGGTTTAAACTCTCACGCAATCTCCCGACAAGTTTAAAAAGCACACGTTAACGATGTTAACGTGTTCCGCGTTAACGTGATCGCGATCGCGTCTCGCCAACAAGAATAAACGATAAATCGGATGTCCGGAATAAGGGAGCAGGGAGAGCGGTAACTGGGCGATACTAAGGGGTTGGGGGAGGGCGACACCCGTCCGACGGACACCAGCCGCACTTACCACGTGGTGATAGCCGGCCCGCGGTGGTGGCTCTGCTCTCTGCCTCGGCTACGTATACCACTAACGGTAGCGCCGCATAGCACGACCGCGACCGGTGTCACCGAGCGTCGCAGCACATGATCGCTCTCTCCTGATCGCTCCTCTCGGCAGGACACCCCGATCGCAGGCACGCACTCGCGGCACTCGCGCTTCGGCCGGCCGCCGAAGCCGCTAGCGTGATTGTCAATCGAGCCGGCCGAGCGTTCGCGCGCGCCAACCGCGCGGAGAGCGACTCGGACGACGACCAAGACCGACCGAGGGGGGGGCGGTCGATCGCGCGACGACCGACGGCATGCCGCGTCTGTCCGACGCGCTAACGAGCGAACGTCGCGATTGCGAGTGCGCGCGACTCGCGCTTTTTGCGGACAAATGTGCTCGACAGGCACGGTACGAGACACTCGTCGCTCGGCCCGCGCTCGTCCGCGACCGTCCCGTCGAGCGACATGCTGTGACGTCCGCGCGGAGCAGCGCTCCCACGTGCGCCGCCGCCGCCGCCGCTGCCGCCGCCGCCGCCGCTGCCGCTGCCGCCGCTGCCGTCGTCGCCGCCGCCGCCGCCGCCGCCGCCGTCGCCGCCGCCGTCGCCACCGCCGCCGTCGCCACCGCTGAAACCGTCCGCCGGGGTTGCTTGGGTCCGTTCGTCGCCCTTGCGGCCGGAGGAGATGCCCGATTGACGCGCCCGGAGACCCTCTTTAAGGGACGGCCGACATGCAACAAGTGTCTCGAGCGACGGCACTCGTCTCACGTGTGTGTTACTGCGCTCTCTCGCCTACTCCACGTTCAGCCACTCGGCGACACACTCTCGATATTCTTGGTCCGATCAGTCGACGGCTGGAGACTCGCCCTCGAACGATGTACAACGCGAGACGGTATCTGGGGGAGAACAGACAGAGAGAGAGAGAGAGAGAGAGAGAGAGAGAGAGAGAGAGAGAGAGAGAGAGAGAGAGAGAGAGAGAGAGAGAGAGAGAGAGAGAGAAACGTCGGTTATTTGGTGCTTTCGAGCTGGGCGAGAAGCGGCCGGCAGATCTCGCGCTCGTCGAGAAAGCGAGGGAGAGTCAGGGAGCGACAGAGAGACAATGAGAAGGTACGGGAGGGAGGGAGGGAGAGATCGTCACCCTCGTTCTCCCGCGAGCTTAAGGCCGTCGCGTTCGAGCGCGTGCGAGGGCTCGGTGACGCCTCTTTAAACAAGGCGAAACACTCGACGCTGATGGAGAAGTAATGGGTTGGAGATTAGGACGCGGCCCGTCGAAATTGCTAATATCGATTATGCCAAACCTCAAGTGTGCCGGCCGGGTTCATATGTTCGTTACGCTCAGGTTAATCTCAAGGGAATTAGAATAGCAAATGGGCCGTAATGGCCCGACATATCTCAAACGGACACCCTCGCTCGTGCGCTCGCCGATGCCTTCTACACGCGGCTCGTCTCCGCGCGAATGCCGAATAATCGCTGACAAGCTGTCTCAATAGTCGACGCGATGAGACTCATCAGCGTCTCGAGAGCGCCATCGATCGATCGGACGCTTCGCAACCCTCCGCTGAGAATTCCGACGAAATCCATACAGCCTCGCAGAGTAGGTACGCTTTAAATGTACGCGCGTGTCTGCCTGCGTGATCGCGAAGTGACTGCGCGGATTTATCCGTCTCGCGCGATAAAGCAAGTAACAACAAGGCTGCAGAATGGAATTCCTCCTGTCCCCGTTTTTCTTATTCACTTCTCAAACAGCCTTCTTCCCTCATCGATACATGCACGTGTCCACCGCGCGCTGTCGGTCGCGAGGATGATGGATGCGTCGTCGCATTAGCTGCACGGGTGTCGCGCGAACGCGAGACAGGGAGTACACATAAAGGGCGGACACGTGGAAGGTGTTCGGCGAGAGAGAGAGAGAGAGAGAGAGAGAGAGAGGGAGAGAGAGAGAGAGAGAGAGAGAGAGGGGGAGAGAGAGAGAGAGAGAGAGAGAAGATGGGGTCAAAGCGCAGAGACGACCTCGGGCCGAGTCTGAGTAATTCGGAGACACCGTGCTGTCGCGTCTGCTCGGTTTGACGTATTATTTTGCCGTATTATTTTCTCGCACGCGCGCAAAAAGGACATATTGACAGTTGGCGTTCGATCGTTTGACGTTGCGACGCGAGAGAATGCGCCCGCGATATTTCATGTTAACAATGCGGAAAGGAGAAGGCTCCGTTCTCGTCGGAAAAAAACCGACCCGTCGGCCGTCCCTTTTCTGTTCTATCAATCATAGGTTTTGCCGGGCCGATATCGCTACGGGCGCTCTTTTCCCGCGGGATTAAGCGGGGAAAGTTCGACCAGGGAAGGACACTGCGCCGATACTGCGTGTTACTTTTCAGACGGTGGATTATCACGTCCCGGTTCATTCGTGGCTCATTCGAGTATCGACTCGCTTGATCGGGGAATATTCCATTTCTCGATGATTTCCCGATAAACAATGAGGTCGAGTGTTATATTATCGTCGCATCAAGGCGATATGCGCTTTTCGCGTGCGCATACACGCGGGATATTTTGCGCGCGCTGGCCGAAAGATCGATTGGGAAAGTAATTAGCGGAACGCGAATCTACGGGAACGGCACGCGTTCGAATTGATTCCGCATAACGAAGAACAATGGCTGTCGTACACGGAATGAATATTAGGAGCCCTTGCACAGCATCGGATAAATTATGTAGGCAACGAGAGTCTCGTTTTATTGCCAGCGGGGGGAGGGGGGGGGTCGTCGTGCCGCTGCAATCCGGGCGTAAACTCGGCGGCTCTCTCATATGGAAATCGTAACTTGAAAGTATAATATGGAAAAAATATCCGCCGGTGGTCTACGCTACCAGAGTCCGTTTGTTTTAGCTTATAAAAATCCCGAGGTGAATCGAAAAATGTATTTATCTCGGGCGAGAGAGGGGGAGGGAGAGAGAGAGAGAGAGAGAGAGAGAGAGGGTGAAACGTCGCTGAAAGTTTACGACGTTAAGACGCACGACATTCTCGACGAATCTCCGCGTCTGAAGAATTCGCTTCTTAAGGATCGCGATGGGAATCGCATGAATCAGCCGTCTAAACGTCGAGCGTTTCATGATCTACGTTTTTCAATCGGCTGACTTTACATTTCACAGAACAAAACGAGCGGCAAATCCGATTGTCAAGTTAGACACGCAAAAGGATGTTTCCGTCCGCTAAAATTGAGAGAATTTCAGGCGAAATTAGCGCGCGACGCGACACGACTTAACAGGTTAGAAACCGTTAAGAATACATACATATACAAATGTATCTGAGATATATACGCAAGAGAGAAAGCGTACACATGTAGACACAGACACACACAGACGCGCGCTCGGGCCGCTCGTTTACTCGCCATAAATATCACAGCGACGTTCGCGGAGCAATCTCATTAGCGCTTAATCTTAAATCACTTCAACGTCTCGCGCGCGCGGTGCGTAGGGCCGTGCCGTTGCTTAATCAGAGTGCGCGTGCGTATCGCAGGGTGTATCGCTCGGAAACGTTTTCGTGTACGTAGCTTCATAACGACGCTTACGAGACTCATCTGTCACAGGCGCGACGATGCTGCGCAATTTATATGACACACCCGTCGCGGTACAAATTGCAGAATATCCCGAAGGATATCGTCAGAAAGGGGATTGTCGACGCAGGAGCCCTTATTAAATCGTGTCGCACAATGTTGCGTTGCTGTGTCCCGGCGATAAATAAAAACAAACAAAGGGCTTACAACAGCGCGCAGTAGCTGTAGCGAGGGATGATTTATACGTAAATTAAAAATAACGATCCAAATAGATTATTTTATTGTAGCATCACGTCGCTTAATTTACTCTCGCGGATTTAGTCTGTTTATCGATGCAACACGGCAACGTCCGGCCAAAATCTGTTCGGACTTTTCGGCCGAAAATTCGCCGCGCGATAAATCACGCGCGCACGCGTGAGCGCGTGATGCATATTCCCGCTGAAAATATTCCACAATAAAAGCAGGGTATTTGTTTACAACGACCGTCATAAAGTGCGATTGTGTTCCGCCGTATCCCTGGTGTTTTTTTTCAATTGCGTTCACGTGTACGCGATCGGCGCGAGGCGCGATGGATGTGATCGATGCGCGAGCGTGTACGTCGGAGAACGCTTGAGGCAAGTTTGCTACTAGTCGCGTTGTAAAACTGCAAAGACGCGGATGAATTTCACCGACGATCACGGGCCGTGTTGGAAATTTCGCGGGAAAAGCGCGATGGGAATTAAGGCGAAAATTCGCCCCGGCGCTTCGCGGCGACATAAGTCAATGTCACGGGAACGCGACGAGGTTCTCTCGCCTCGTCAATTTCTCAGATCAAACGCGTCGACCTATTAAGCCGCGGAAATTTCATTTCGCGAATTTAACGTAGCCTCGCAGTTTCGCCGCGCAGCGCCGCGTCGCGCCGGATTACCGCAAGTTTTAGCGGCAGTTTAGCTCGCGTCTCGAAGGTGCATCGACTGAATTACTCTGCGCCACGGGTGCGCGACGTGCACAGTCGGCGACTCCGAATAGCAGCCCCGTGTGCTGTCTCGTCGCCGGCAATAAATGCAGACAACTACAGTTTCTCACTTTACGGTCGATGCGTTGACGTTAGCGCGTTATGTCGCGCCCGTTGCGCCGCGCGGTGTCGCTTGATTGCGACGAAATACGGGCGCGTTGCGATGGATAGACGAGAATAACGACTCGGCTCGACGCGATTCTATCCGGCGGATAGAACTGCACGCGAGCGCGCGTCGACGAATTAAAAGCGAATCTCTCGGTGGACGGAAAGCGGCGGGATCGCGAACAACCGGGAACACGCGCGAGCACGAACTCGCGCGCGCGCGCGCGCGCGCGGGGGGCATAGCGAATTTTTTACGACCTATCGATTTCACCGCTAATGGAAGCTCCAATCTTTGCGGATTCATCGATACGCGAAGGGACGCTGGCCGCGACGTGCGCGTCATCATGTAAATGATATTTCCGCGCGAGTCGCGCGCGTTATATCGCGCGAAAATCGCGCACATTCGATTATTCAAGGCTGATAACGTACTCGATTAAAACGAAAACAACTCGCGAATTAATCTCCCCAAGTCCGCGGCGACATTCGCGCACGTTCGGCTGAAAATAAACTGCGCTGAATCACTAGCGCCGTAATAAAAATGCGGCTCGGATGAAAGTCATGCACGGGATTTCTGCATTATTTGGCGGAGAAAGAAAGACGAGGGCGCCGAAAACCGAATAAAAGGTCCGTGCGAGAAATAATTCGGGTCGCGCGGAAAGATCGCTCCCTCATTATTCGTCGAACTCGAGTATGTGCGTTATGTTCACCAGCCATATTATTTTAAAAATCGCGCTGCAATTTGAAGCTGCAAAAAGCAACATGCCCGTTAGGCAATCGGAAACAAGCGACGATGAAATCGCGAATGTTTCATGCACTGATGGCTTCTATGATACCTATAAAAAAAAAGAGACAGGGGGTGAGAGCGAGAGAGAGAGAGAGAGAGAGAGAGAGAGAG